TGAATAAATCTTGATAGGATCTACAGGCAGAGGATCTGCAAGATAGAAATCCTGAGTTTGGTGAAGTAGTACAGATTTCAATAGTTAAGCTAGTTAACACCTGATCTAGTTAAAAATCTGAGTATGAAGAATATTATTCTTTTCTTCCTATTCTAGCATAATTCACAATAAAATTTCTATAGTCTTTTAAAGAAATTAAACTAGAATAGTTTAGAGAACTAGCTTATTGCCTTGCTAGTTTTAGAGGCAGACTCTAAAATCTTTTTAACATTTGTTGTGAGCTAGTTATTTGTTAGAACTTAAACATATAGCTTTCTCTTACTAAGTATCTTAGCTATATTCTGTTCTATAAATACTTCTTTTAAGGTCTGATTTGAGATAGCTATATTCTATCTGTTCTCAACTTTCATACTTAGCTCTTCTATAATCAACCTTTTGATCTTTCTCCAAATTTCTTGATATATCTAATATTCTACAATATATTCTAATAATTCTTCTTTTGCAAAGCATACTATACAAGTTTTACTCTTATATAGGCTCAGATTTCTTAGAAAGCAGAGGTCTTTAGTAGATAATAATTTGTTAAAATACTGTATATTACTGAAAATAAGCATTCTCTTTTTATTATAAGAGGTGCTCATTTTCAGAAACAAATTATTCATTTTCTATTTTTGGTTTAAACCAAAAATTTTTTTATACAATTTTTTTTTTCAAGTTAACTGAACCAAAATAGAAGCCTAAGTAGTGATGCATTGACATCACAATCACATAGGCAATCCCAATAGTAACAAAAAAAGGCCTATGCAACTTCTTGATGATAATGCCACAAAGTAATTTAATGAGTTACTGGTTTAGATAATATAACTATAATTATGTATATACAATCTGAATTTAAAAATATATTTATCATGATGTTTAATTAATTATATGTATTTCTAAACAAAATATCACAAGTTGTTAAATGAAAAAAAGTTGTTAAATATCAAATTACTAAATGTAAATGAACATCATATTCTGTGGTACAAAAACTTGAAGTTGTTACTTATGCAAAACAACATAGTCAAAATAAAGCTACAAATTACTTTGATCTTAATGCCTCTATAGTAGAAAATTGGGTCAAAGCAAATGAGAATTTAGAAACTGCAACAAATAAAAATTCTAAATGACTTAGTTCTGGTAGAAAAGCATTTTTTTCTGAAGCAGAGGATAAGCTTTATAATTGGATTATTGAACAAAGGAAACAAGGTTTAGCTGTAACCTATATAAATATACAAACAAAAATGTTAGAAATTTTACAAGAACATGATATGAAAATTTTATATAGTAGATCAGTTAGAAGTTTTAATGCATCAGTTTCTTGGTTATATAACTTTTTATATAGATATAAATTAGCTTTGAGACGATGTACAAAAAAATCACAAAAATTACCTGATCAAACCAAAGAATTGTTAGATAATTTTTATAAGTATATTAATAATCTTAAAATTAAATGATCATATAAATTATATAATATCTACAATATGGATGAAACTCCAGTTTGGTTTGATATAAGTAGAAATTTTACTGTTAATCTAAAAGGTGAAAAAACAATTCATATTCGTAGTACTAATAATAAAAAAACTAGATTTATAGTTGTTTTAATATGTGTAGCAGGTAAGTATTATGTTTAACAATTTTTTAAATTATCAATTATTTAAATTTATTATTTATTATTATTTATACATATTAATAATATTAATCATATAGATAGAACTAAATTATCACCTATTTGTATTTTTAAAAGAAAAAAATTAAAAAATAATGAACAAATTCCTTCAGGTATAGTAGTATGGTTTCAACAAAATAGATGGATGAATTCTAATTTAATAAAAACATATATTAATTATTTTGTAGATTTTAGAAAAAATAAAGAATTAAATAATACTTTTGCAATGATGGTTTATGATTCTTTTAGAGGACATCTAGATAAATTTATTAAACAAAAATTTCATAAAAATTATATTGATTTAGCAGTAATTCTAGGTGGCTTGACTAGTATCTGTTAGCCATTAAATATTGCAATTAATAAACTATTTAAAGATAATCTTTGTAAAGAATAGCATTTATAGATAGCTAAAGGTGGTTGTGGAAAAACAAAATCAGGAAATCTTAAAAGAGCTATACTAAGTGATGTATGTGAATAGGTTAAAAAGTCATAGGAGAATATTTTTAATAAAATTATTATTGAATCCTTTAAAACATGTAGTATAACAAATAATTTAGATACTTTAGAAAATTCTGATAAAGAAAATGAAAGTGAAAATGATGATTTAGTTATTAGTATTGAAAATAGTTTTAGTACTGATACTACTAATATTGATAATTATATTAGTGATAGTGATGATATTGGTAATTATTTTACTGATGAAAAATAAAATATTTTGTTTATTGAATTATATTAAATAAATAAAGTTTTATATTATTACAATAATTATATTAAATATAAAATACACAATTATAAAAAATTATTTATTTTGATGGGGTGCTTATTTTCGAAAATAATGTAAATCAAGAAGGTGCTTATTTTCAGAGGATGCTTATTTTCAGTAATATACAGTACTTTATTCTAAAGATCAGAGCTTTGCTTTTTTTGATACTAGTACATCTCTTTCTCTGAAACTTCTTTAACAAGCTTCATATATTCTTCTAATTCAGCTCTTTATTGCTTTGCTTATATGATCTTTAATCTAGTATTGGTTTAATATTATTCAGGTCTGCTTATTTGTATTCATATGCTATTGCTGTAGTTATATTAACAAAAGATTTAAGTAGACTGTCTATTAGCTTGTTTTTTCAAGTTAGTACTACTCTTATACTGCTTGCTATAGTATCTTGTACTTCTAGTACTAAACTAGATAAGAGATCTTCTTTTGCTAACTTATTAGCTATATTATTCTAGTAATTCATACTGTAGCCTTTAACTTTAATCAGCTCTAGCTCAATGTTTTTAGTTCTACAGCAATCTATTATTTGATTAATCAAACTATGATTCTTGGTTTTAAATATACTTCTAATATTCATTTGACTTTAAAAACCTTGTATTCCCTTTATTACTGCATTACTATCAGAGTATAATCTTATTTTTGCACTAGCAAGAGCTACTAGCAAAGCTATCTATATCACATCTAGTTTTGCTCGAGTTGAGAAGGGCTAGTTAGCTATTTTACTATTGAAACTAATACTATTCATACTACTATTCTCATTAGCTATAACCCAATCTATACTCATCCTTTTTCCTTCTCTATTTTCTTTATGCTCTGTTACTAATAACTTATCTGTATAGATATTTAGCTTTTTTTTTCTTTTAACTTTTTTACAATATTAATTAACTTGTTTGCATCTCTTTGTCACTAATTATTCTTTAAATTACTGCTTTTTCTATACTCACTACTCTTACTTCTACTTCTTCCTTTTGTTCTTTTTCTTTCTCATACTGAAGCTTCTTATCTGCTATATAGACTAACAGAAATATTTCAATTAATAGTATATTTTTTTTACATACTACTTTTTCTAGGACTTGGTATTTTGTCTTCAGCTTTTGCCTTGTTATATAGCTTGTGTTATTATGTCTTCTATATATATAGCTTTCATACTTTCTAGCTAGTATATTTTTTGTATTCTTATTTGCTTCAATTTACTAATATTCAGTTACAAAATACTTGTTTTCTTTTTTATAACTTTGTCAATTTCAAAACTTCTTTCCTTTTCAAAGATGATCTACTTTTTTTTCCTTTTATCTGCAGATATTTTGTAACTATTAAATTTTATTGTATATTGGTTTGGATCTGCTATATAGTATTCTTCTTTTAGAAATCTTATTATACTACAATCTAAACTCTTTCTTCTATATATTGAACCAGTGTAGCTTTCAATCTCTCCTCTTAAAATCTCTAATATATCTTACTTGTTGCCATATTAAGAGTCTATTGCTACTACTTGTTATAAGCTATTCAAATATAAAAATATTTATATTATTGCTCTTTCTATATCTGTTAGCCTCTTTTTCATTTAGCAGACTTGAGATACTTGTACCTAATATTTCAGAATTTTCTTCATAAGCTCTGCTTTCTTGGAAACTACAGCCTAGTTTCTTTCCTTCATAAATTATCTTATAAGCTAAATTAAATCTAAGCTTTGTATAATTTAATTTACTATAATTACTAAGAATATTGTTTGTATTCATATAGCTGAGTTGTGCTTCTTTTACTTTTAATCTTGTAGTGAGTCCTATCTCATTTTTTTGTTTCTTTTCTGTGTTTCTAAAAATATTATAAAAGAGATATAAATTTAACAATATATAAGATTAAATTAGATACAACTACAATCTGATCAATAAAATATAAATAAAACTTTTATCTTTATCTAACATTTCACTACTGTCTTAACTAATACTAAATTAAATTTTATCTCTCTTTTAGGTAGTGTCATATTATGCTACATCCTAGATTTCTTAGTAATACTGTTATATTATTTCTTTTTCTGTGAAGGTAGTGTTATTAGTCTCTGACACTATATTTAACTATATTTAATAATATTTAGTAATATTTAGAAAAAGATATATAAACTCTAGCTTTTTCTTTCTTGTAAAGCAGTTTTGTAATTTTTTATAATTCTTTAATAAAAATACAATACTTAATAAAGTTTAAAGTTCTCTATGAATTCTTTAATAAAGTATAACCTTGGCTTTATAAAATGCTTTCTTTAAATGAACTACTATAGTGATATAATATTTTATTTTGATACTATTAGGAGTCCTACTTCTGTGTCTTATATTATTTGTAATGTATTGAGAAAGCTATACTATTTGTAATATTTTGGTACTTTTTGATAGAAAGAAAATGAAAAGGTCTCTATATATTATACTATTTAATATAAGCAGATGATAATAAAAATAAGAATGAACTATTAGAATTAAGATATATTTTATGTTTAAAAGAAAATCTAAAAAGAAGTTTCTTTAGGACAATTTATAATTAATTATCATATTTTGCAAATATCTTTATGAATATTGAATATAGAAGGATAAAACATATACTATTCTACTCAGTATTAAAATTTGGTTTATATTTATATTTTTTAAAAAATTTGAATTAGTCCAAATCTATATATCTATATCTATAAATTATTATATCTATATTTTGTCTATATTATTTTAATTAGTCTAAATATCTATCTTAGCTAATACTAATTCTACTTACAAGAATTTACTTTACAAGTTTTATTATAGCATA